GTCCAAGATTAACCTTCAGGGTGGATATAGCTCGCTAGCAGCCTCGCACCGAGGACCTATCCACGTCATCATTTACCCAGAATGCTTTGTGTGGAAATAAAATGTCTCCGTCCGTGTTAAAATATATTTTAAAAATCTACAAAACTAAACATCATACAGTATTTTTACAGTCTTTATTTTACAGTTAAAATGTATGTTTATCAAATAAAGTCTAATGTTACAAATAATCAGGGATCCCTTTAAAGCAATGGTTCTTGTTTTGGGTCTGGGGACCCCTTACAAAGCCCATGCTGTTTTAAAAATAATTTACTGTCATTTTAACCCCTAAATACCATGAGAATATTGGTTTAGTAGTGCATTGTTGCCCATTTGCATTTAAAAAAAATCAAATTAATAATTTAAAGTAGAAATATCCTGCAGAAATGCACGTTTTGACCTTTGGCCCAGATGTAGATGTTCCCACTGGAGTCTCCGGTGATGGCGTCTCCATTCTCAGCGAAAGCCACACACAGCACGTACTTTGGTTTCTCGTGTTTCTGTGAAGGAAACAGAAAGAGGCTGTAAACCTGTGCAGCTTCTTTTAACCACAGCTGTTTATTAGCAGAGTGAAGCTACCTCGAACAGGCCCTGCCTCTTGGTCAGGGTGTTGCCCTCCATGGTCCAGAAGTTGATGTGAGACTTCCCACAGGTGACGATCAGGTTGGTGTCCATGGGATGAAACATGGCCGCCAGCACCGACTCGTTGGAGCACTGCGGGGGGGAAAGAAGCGCTGGTTTTATCCACCAGCACCAGACTTTAACGTTGCACATCTCTTATCGCTCACCTTAACGTCCGCCAGCTGCTTCTCCTTCTGCCAGTTCCAGACCGACAGGATGTGATCGTTGGCGTCGTCCACGGCGCACAGGAAGCTGCCGCCATTCTGGATGTTGGAAGCAAAGCGACGTCAGTAGAAGAACAAGTTTTTGTTTATTTTTTAAAAGCACGGCGGCAGGACCGGGCGCTGCTGCTGCTCACCGACTTGGAGAAGGACACGCAGGTGACCGCCCTGTCGAACACCCCCACCCCGATCACGTGGAGCGTGTTGAGGCTCACCGAGTCCCAGATCCGCACGTGAGGCGCCAGCAGCTGCACGGGCGGCACAGACAGGAAATCAGGGAAAAAGTGATGGACAGCACAGAAAATGTGTTTTAATATTTATAATAGGGCTGCCACGATTAATCGAGGACTAATCGATTATTAAAATAATCGATGACTAATTTAATAATCGATTAATCGTTTTCTTTTTTTTTGTTTTTGACTTTGTTTTTCTCTCCAAACTGCTTTGACACCCTCCACTGCCACATCTGCCTTTCTGTCGTTGACACACATGC